TCCTGGATTTTGATTTAAGCTGTGAATATAAAAGTACAGTGGGGACTTTGGGGCCAGAGGAAACCACCCTGAGATAATGCTGCTCCAAACAGATACTGCTTTGGAGATTTTTGAATCTTAATTATTTAAATTGGTAGCCTGGTATGGTAGCACATGTTTGTAATCTCAGCACTCAGGAAGATGAGGTGGGAAGATTGCTGTAAAGAAAAAGCCAGCCTGGGCAGTGGGACAAGACCTTGTCTCAAAAAAAAAAAGGAACAGGAGCTATTATCACATTATTACTTTATGTTTGGTCTCCTCTCTATAATTCATTGGAAACATGAACTCTGGATATGCAATTTAAATGAAGATCTAGAGAGCTCGGACATGAGTTCAAACATCACTGTTCTGAAAGCTTTGTTTCGTTCCCAGAACATCACCTTTTATAAGCTCAGTGGCCCCCTCTTTAGACTATTACTAATTTATAGAAGTGGGAGAGTCATGGTTAAAAAGCTAACAGAGAATAGATTTTTGTTCAGGAAATTCATCTGACACATAATTAATTTGACGTCTTTGGTTTTAAAAAGAGAAAAAAGAAACCCTAATCTTAAGCAATGATTTACCTGCCCACCTAGTACCCAAGCAGGTGCTGTGGATAAACTCGAGAAACTCACATAGAGCCTATTGCTACACTAATTGGGGGCTTCCAAATCCCGCCAGGAAGAAGTTTCTTTTCCATTACGTTTCACAAAGGCAAGTCTGGATGATGATCTGAATGAAAATTTCCTTTATATTACACCAACTTCTGCATAACTGACATTTTGAGCTAGATAATTCCTTGTTTAGGGGCTGGTGCAGGCCTTGTAAGATACTTAGCTATACCTCTGACCTCTCACTTACTAGATACCAATGGCATTTCCTAGGATGTGACGAGAATGTCACTGGTCATTTTACCAGATGTCCACTGAAGGGGAAAAAAAAGAAATCACTCCTGGCTGAAGACCACTGGAATAAATGAATTAGGCATTCACTCTTAGTAGCATTAGTTAATAAACTTTAGTTCTGTGAGGTTAAATGAGGTCTGATATAAAGTGTAGAAAATAAATAAAAGAAACTAACTGACTGAATAAGAATATACATCTTGTGAAATCACTGTCTTGCCACTTATTCCATGGATCAGTGGTGAATGAAAAACACTGTTAATACAGTGTTGGCTGTTTCCTACAGTAGAAAGGTTTACTACATAGCTGTTACAGTATCTTATACAGTATAAATTGAAAGCAATAGATCTGAGGTTAACTTTATTTCTTTGGGTCTCATTTACTAATCTATAAAATGGAGGTATGGTGGGAAAGCAGTAGAAAGGGTGGAAAAAGATTTTTAAAATTTAGCAAAAGTCAAGGACTTATACTCTAGGCACTACACTTAGAGCTAGCATATAAAAGTCGGAGATGAGCCTCTCTTTCAAGGTGATAATGGTGAGAACTATAAACTAGTGACTAACTACAATAGTATAATCATTAGAAGTATGTATAAAAAGAGCAGAGGACACCTAGAAATAAGATCCGTATCTGCTTGGGGGAAATCAAAGAAAGTATTGTAAGAGGCATTTTTGCTAAAACCTGAAAGATAAACATGAATTTTGTCAAGAGAGTTGGGCATGGTAGTCCATACACGTAATTCCAGCTATTTAGGAGACTGAAGCAGAAGGATCACATGTTCAAGGTCAGCTTGGCAACTTAGCAAGACCATCTTAAAAAATAAAATAAAAAGCAAGGGATATACAAGGGTAGCATGTATGAGCCCCTAGATTCGAGGTCCAGTACTGAAAACAAACAACCCAAAAAACAAAAACACACTGCTAGGACACAAGGCGAAGCTATTCCATTTATAAAGACAAAGACAGCATATTTAAGGAACTACTGGTAATAAGTACTCTAGTGGTGCTAGCGGGTGATTGGGAAAGGGGGAAACAGGCATTGTTGAGTATCATGAGGCCTATATACCAGGCTATTTATTTTTCTACTATAGATGGCAAGTGGTAGGCAGATCACCTTACAGTAATGTGGCAAATAAGACTGGAGGGGAATAAGCAAGAGTATAGTCAAGTGACTGTTGTAGTGACTATAACAGTGATACATCTAAAGGTAGCGACAGCCTTCAAAAGAGCAATGCTGTGGATAAAAACAGGAAAAACTCTTGAGAGAAATGGGCAAGAGCTGAGGTATGAACATACTTCAAACTTATAGTATAAACCTCAAAAGTATGGTAGCCTTTGCCTTCTATTCTAGATTATAAATTAGTAATGTAATGCATGAATGTTAACTGATGTTGTATAGTATTAGCACAGAAGGCCAGGCATTTTTTAATAGAGGCATGAAATGATGGATATTGGTGGTGAACTAGAAGACAAAATGTCAATTGATATGATTAAAATACATTGTATGATACTAAACTATAAACAATAAGGATAGGGACCATGCCTGTCACTTAAAATAACCTGGCAAATAGCTACTCTAAAAATTTAAAAAGCTGCTTTAAAGAATATTAAGTACAAAGTCCAATTTTGGCATATCTCATATTGTACATAGAAAAGGCAATTCCAGGTAAGCTTGACTTCTGAAAATGAACTTCCACTCATATTACATCTTCATTATATCATTCTGAGCTTTATTACATTCCCTGGAAATTAAAACAGGAATTACGATCCACTTCAGATATGAGGAAATAAACCCTAAAAAATAAAGTGATCTGACAAACTAACTTAGCCAGTAAATAAAGGTTTAAAATTCCCATTCTCTGACTCAAAATTCTAGGATTTCTTCTTACTTCACAAAGAGTATATTTATAAAACACATCTGACAGTGGTTAATTAGGGAACTGTTGTCAGATTTTCAATTTGAGTATTGACTTAAACTAAATTACATGCAATTACAACATTCCTAATTTCATGATGCAAATGTTTTTCCTCAAGAGTGTACATTCGTTCCTTGGAGTTCTAGTATGATTTGCATTGTGCAACTGTTTTTTCTTAAAGTATATAATGTTGATCCAAGAGGTAAGGGGACTCAGGTACTTGGGAGGCTGAGACAAGAGGATTGCCAAGATTGAGGACAGCTGAACAATTTACTAAGGCCTTGTTTTTTTGTTTTTTTGTTTTTTTTTAAAAAGCTAGTAATTTAGCAGGTATTTCAGGAGTCCCCGGGTTCAATCCAAAGTACTGATCATTAAAGGGTGGGAGAAGTGTGGGGGAATGAAACCTAAAAACAGCTAATCTGTTAATTTGATACTCATTTTTTTTCAGGGAGGAATAATGTAATTTAAAAATTACAGGTGCACTTATTTAGAATATAGTGTATTCTCAATTTTATACTGTTTAAAAAACACAGGGATGGTCGGTGGTAGTTGCTAATAATGGATTTCTCTAGGCCGATTCCTGAAATATAATTCTCTAAGGGTCAAAATACTAAATTTTAAAGAACACCCTAGGTGTCACAGAATATAAGGCTCACTGGATTTGGCATTCTGTCTGCATAAAACATTTATTTTACCAGAAAATGCATTACAGATATGTCTCTATATCTCCCCTATTTTTTTGATGCTGGGGCTCAAATACTAGGCATTGAAAATGGTGGTCTTATTTTTAAATCACTCCTCGCTTTTTCAAACAGTGATTTTGCTAAAAAAAAAAACCAAAAAACCTCTTAGGCTATATCCTGCACATTAGTAGAAATCTGGTCACCTGTGTTTATAATGATGCTTTTGAGGTTATGAACTGCAGGCTAATTTACTGCAGGAATCAGTTTTAAATAGCTACGAGCCTTTTTTTTTTTTTTTTTTTTGAGCATAAGTTATTAGCATTTAGGTGTTATGGAATTTATAGGGAGCTTTTCAGTGACCTGTCTCTCTGAGTGTTTTGATTTTCCTATTTGAGGATCCACAAGGTTTCCATATAAGCTCTTAGCACTTCAAATACATGGCAAACTAGAAACCAGTAAAATGCTCATGAAACTACAATAATTTAAGCGTGAAAGTATGATTTCTACTTCCATAGATTAAAAATGACTGTCAAGAGTAAGAGTCCTAATTCAGTGGCCAATTATGAACTTGAAACCATGGTTCCTGCCTCTTACTGCTTAAATCTTTTTGTTGGAAGAATTTCTTAAGGATGTTTTCAAGCGCAAACTCTCTCCTTTTACACGAGAAAACTGAGGTACCAAAGAAACTAAATTATTTGTCCAAGGTCACACCCAATATTACAGACCAAGACAAAAACCATCAGCTCCATCTACAGCCAACCCAGCTGCATCTGTTACGCCCCTACTTTTAAAATTTCCTAACTGCACCGCTTCCAGATTTTCCATGAAGTTGTTTGGTCCTTCCCCATCCCCTTTGTTTTATGCCATCGGGGACCAAAACCTCGCACACGTGTCGGTAACACCGGAGTCCACGTCTAACTCGCTGACATTCACGGACCTTTTCCGGAGGCCAAAAATTTTCTCCGAAAGGCGGTGCGTCCTCAGCTCCCTGGGGGAGGAGCCGCGGAGGCAGGTCACGCGGAGCAGACAAGTCCTTACATGTACTTGCGCGTGCCCGGACGCAGCCTACGGGGCCAACTGGGGAACCAAGGAAGGAGATACACGGGCGAGAGGGAAGGCAGGGGGCGGGAGAAAAACACGGTGGTGGGAAAGCCCTGTGCACGGAATCCGCTAGCCTCTGGCCACGCTGGGCAGAGCTGAGCGTGAATAAATCTCACTGGCCAGGCGCCGACACTGCCGCAGCGCGGGGGAGGAGAGGGCGCGGCGGGCCGCGAGGCACGCTGGGGAAGGGGCGCGCCGCGGCGGCCCTCTCCTAGGCGGAAGCCCGCGCCCACACGCCTCCCACGGCCTAGGCGAGCCGCGGCGTTATCTGAGTAGGGCCGGCGCGGACGGCCCCGCCAGTCCCGCCCCCCTCTCCCGCGAGGTTGCCGCGGCACGAGATCTGCGCGGAGCCTCCCACCTCCCGCGGGCGGGTTCTCTTACCTTGTGAAAAAAAAAATTCCTCTCTGAGGCTCCCCCCTCCTCCTCTACAAAATGTGAAATGGCGGTCGACGAGGGGAACGCGAGGACCGCACCTCTGGCCAACCCTGCGAAGCCTCTCTTAGGGCCCGGAACACTCGCGCCCCCTCCCCTCCGGCCCCCTCTGAGCCCATCTATGAGATCGGTGCTCCGCCGCCCCTCACTCAGGTGGCCGTGCCCACCAGCCGAATCATCGATTCCCCCGCGCCCGGAGCGGGCCCCGCTTCCCGCCAGCCTCCTCCCTCACTGCTTGCCCGACACGGGGGGGAAAAAAAAAACACCTTTTCGCCTCCTCCCCGCCTCGTTGTCCCTCCTGGCATCCGCCCAGCTCCCTCCTCTTTTCCGCGCGCCCCTCCCCCACGGCTGGGCGCCCTCCCTCCGTCACACACGCGCGCATACCCCTTCTCCCCTCCCCCAGTGGTTGCGTCCGTGACATCATCATCATGGCAACAAGAGCTGCAGTCTGGGACCGAGGAACCCGTGTGATTCCTGGCGGCGGCGGCGGCGGCAGTGGCGGCAGTTCGAGCAGCACCACTGGCACCAGCGAACGCGGGAGGGCTTCTCTGTGGCTGTCTGTCGCCCAGCGCTCCTGAAGAGGCGGCCGCGCGAGCGCCGACCCCACCACGCGCGTCGCCGCTCTTCTCGGCGCGCGCGTGTCGTGTGTGTGTGTGTGTGTGTGTGTGTGTGTGTGTATACGCGCGCGCGCGCGTGTGTGTGTGTGAAGGGGGCGCCGCCGCCGCTGCGGAGGGAGCCGCCGCCGCCGCCGGGTCGCCCGCGAAGAGGAGGTGGTGGCGGCGGCGGCGAACATGTTTTCAGTGAGGATAGTGACCGCCGACTACTACATGGCCAGCCCGCTGCAGGGGCTGGATATCTGCCAATCCCCGCTCACGCAGATCCCTGTCAAGAAGGTGCCGGTGGTGCGAGTCTTCGGAGCGACCCCGGCAGGTGAGCGGGCGCGGGGCGCGAGGCGCGGGCGGGAGCGGGAGCCGGCGGGCGCTTTCCCTCGCCGCGCACACGCGCGCACGCCGCGGGTCTTCGCGGTGGGTCGCCACTGCGTCTTCCCTCTCCTCTGCTCGCCTTTCTCCGGTGCATGACAACAGGCACCGAAATGCGGTCCTTGCAAGCCTCTTTCCCCCGGGCGGAGAAGGCGATCACTGCGTTTACTGTGCGTTCGGCGGCGGCCAGGTCTTGGAGCGGCATTTGGAGGTGCGGGCACCGCGGTCGCTGCGAAAGGCGGGCCGGGTGGTCGTGATATGTATGTCTCTGTGGACCGGTCGTCGGTGGGACCCCGAACACCCTCTGTCCTCTTTCTGGAGGTGTGCGGAAAGCAGAGGGGAAGTGTCAGCTCTGTGATCAGTGGTTCCAGGTCGCCTTTTTTCACCCTCGCTCTCCTCTGCCCCTGCCGGAGATGCAGTGGGCTGGAGAAAGTGGCGCCAGGGGCCAGATGATCTTTCTCATTGAAGTGACCATGTGGCTGTGCTATGAGTGCAGGTCTTGACCGCTTAGTTTAATGCCTCTGGGGACGGGGCGGCATCCTCAGGTGCAAATGCTTTTCGGAAACGTAGCCTTGGAAGTAGGAAATGCGTGTGATGTTGCCCCGTGTGACGCATCACACCTAATGGGGTGAATTTATTAAAAACCACAGCCCAACTCAGCAGCTTAAACGTTTTAAAATGCCTCTAAGGCTGAGTAGGATTGCATTTAAAATGTAAGTTTGCTTATTTTTAAGAACGAATGGGATGGGGAAGACAGCAGTGACCGAAGCTACGCTGTCTCAAAAGCTGTTGGGGGTGTGATAAATAAGACAGTGACCAGATTTACAAGGTGTTTTTAAATTGTTTTTGCTTTTGTCGTGTTTGAACTACTTACATGGAATAATGAAGCTGCCTTCTGGGAAAGAATGCTTGTACTTTAGTTATGTATCGCCCTATGGGATTTTAGATAACATCTCCCACTTGATGCTCCTTGCTCTTATCACCGTTCATTTTGTTGTTACTGTAGTCAGTTTCTGTGGACTACCAAGGAGATAACAGTGCTTTCTTAAACACAAGCACTCATTCCAAGCAGTTATCTTTTAATCTTAAATTCTCTTGATTAGAAGTGTCTAGGCCAGATTTGGTAAAGTTTCTTTTTTAAAATTGTGAAAGAGATTTTGATGCTGTTATCCTTGAAAGATGGAGGTTTGAGTGCTATTAACAATCTGTTGAAAGTGTAACACTTAAAACTTGGGCTGAAAAACTAGTGCATTGAAGTGTTTTGAAGGACAGGTTTTCTGTAGAAATGTGCTGTCTTTGTTTCTAATCGGAATTTCAGAGTTATATACTGTTTATTCTCACATCAGTTGGAGAGGTAGCATAATATTCGCATGAAGTTGATACACATCTTTTAAGCTACATTTCCAAACTTCAAATATGCTGATAGGCTATATTGTGGTATTTGTTTGTATTAAAGTGCCTGTGCTTTGGGTTCCTTTTCAACAGTTTTTTTTTCTTCTTCACACAAGTTATTAAATATGTATTCCTGAGTGATTTTTCAGTCTGTTTTCAGCAGTAATTGTTATGCAAGAGAATATTCTTTAAAAATAAATAACCTGATAACACTTGTGTTTCTTGAGTAGTAAAAGACATATAAAGTATGCTGTGAAAAACATTTCTTCTTCCTGTTCATCTCACTTGCCTGTCCCAAACTTCTTTTTAACGTATCTTAAATGAGTAGTTGTAAATGAATTTAAAAAGTGAGACTTTTTGTGCATACATTGAAAGATAGAATCTTGATTTGGAGTATCCCATGCTTTACATTAAGATTATTAATGTAAATTTGCAGTATAAAATAAATTACAGGTTCACAACAAAGTTTTTTGTTTCCTCAACAAAAAAAATATTGGAGTCTATGACATAATGTGGAATTTAAAGTTTTTATAAATCGAGCCAGCATTTTTAGCATGTCCGATACTCGTACTAAAACTAATGTTAATTAAAAGCAAAAAACTGTAAAGTAGCCTATGTTTGAATTCTGTCCTAGGAGAAAACCAGTCCAGGCCACCAGTCCAGGCCATCAAATAAAATCAGACCAAACTAGGTTAGTAAAAGTCTGAATTCTGGAATTTTAAATGAAGACAGGTATAATATTTGAAAATACAAATGATGCTTATATCTTTACTAATAAGTAAGTTATTGAAATTTTGTCACATGATAAACCAGTGCTACATAAAGTGCCATAAATATGGGTTCTTAGTATATAGGAATTAATTTTGGAAGTCCTTAATTCTTTACCTTGGTTTGGAAACAAAATGTTTTTAAATTGAGTTTGCTTTATAAAGAAGGTCCTGAAAAATGGCAATAAAAGAAATTCTCTCAAAGTGGCTATTTCAGAACTATGTAATAATGTCTAAACTGATTGGATTAATACACTTCTACTAGTTTTTCTATTGATGAAATGTATTTTTCTGCTTTAGGAAACAGTCCAGTTGACTTCTGGTTGTCCTATGTTTTGGGGACATTATTTGAGCAATACAATAAATCAGGTCTTAGGCTTTCAAGTGTCTATATCTTGAGATGGTGAAATTTGAAAAGTATTTAAAATTTTTTGAATGGTAAGTCTTGGCTGATTGGCTTAGCCCTTGCTGACTGAGAATATTGATTCCTGAGAATCAATACTTAAATATACTGCATGTGTGATGATTTTTCAAAGAACACAAATCTCTGCTTTAATTGATTTTAAAAAATGGCTTGAATTTTATTGTGACCTATGTGTCGAGCAATATCTTTGTGGAAAAAAGTTATTTTTTCCTTTATAACAACATAGTAATGTGTCTCAATGGAAAGAAACAATTGTAAATAACGTACAGGACGATGTTGTGTTTTGTTTTTTTTAGATTTGAATATGGGTATGACTGCTGTGGAAATCATTCCACATAAAGTCCTGAATCTTCATCATAGGGACCTGAACTCAGGTGGAATTCATACTCCGTGCAGTTTCTATATCTCAATTCTTGCTTAGTTGTTTACTGTAACTTCCTTCCTGCTGAGTTTAAACAGTTCTCTCAGTTTTCTCAGCACTAGGTTAAACAGCATTAAACTTTCAAAGAGCTTCCCTGCTGAGATGCAGAGCAGGAGTAAATAGAGGAGTGTGAGATATTACAAAGTAGGCCAAACAGACTATAGAGGGAGCTGCTTGTCTTCATAATTACTGTGAGGAATTCTGTTACCCTCTTCTGACTGTTTTGGTAGATTGTTCAAGATAATAGCTGTAAAATATGAAATCAAGTTACTTAGCATAAGTGTTTAGAAAATCTGACAAATTACATAAGTGTGTAGTACTCATTTGAATGCTGTATTCTATAAAGTTAAGTGTAATTTATCAAAATAATCTCAATGTTTTTGTAAATTGGTAGATTATTAAATAAGTTTCTTGTGAGTACAATTTTTGAAAACTATAACATTTGTCAGTTGAAATTACAAAAATTTCTCTTAATGAAACTCATGTTTGTTAATGCCTTTGTTTTCCCTAAACCACTTAAATATAGGACAAGATCATATAATACCTATTTAATTATAATAGAAATTTTTAGGAGCACTACAGAGATTTAATGACTGTCACAAATTGATCACAATTTAGTAAGTTTTAGAGACCTGAGTAGCAAATATTGTTAGCCTTTTATATTATGTTTGATTAAAAATAATCTTCACACTTGGAGGCAAGATGATCACAAGTTCAACTCCAGTCTGGACAGTTTAGTGAAATTCCTGGAGCCTTCACATTTGTGGGCACAGTAAAATCAGATAATGTATGATTAGTTCGTTCAATGAGCAGTGAACACATAGGAGAGAGAATCTACTGTATTGTCAAGTTATTTTTAAGTGTCTTCCTAAAAATAGCTTTACCCTCCAAAAACTTCCAATGTAGTGGAAATGAGACTTGTAAACAGATATTGAACACAAAATAATTAGTCCACAATAGAAGTGTGTCTATGATATAGTGAGAACCCAAAGAAGACATATTCCATGACTTGTCAGGCAAAAAGGGGAGTCAGTTAAGGCTTCATGAAAGAAGGATGGGTTAAGCAATTTTAAAGGACTTTTTAAACAATTTTAAAAATGTAATAG